TACTAATGTGACACTACTATCTATAAACTAATTTTCCTGTGGAGAAACACACACACACACACACACACACACACACACACACACGAGACTATATGGGATTAGGAGACTACTTGTACCACTTTATTACCTGCCTGTGCTGTTTAAGAAGTTCATTCAGCATAGGTTTTGTTAGGGCATGTGAATCCTGGGGGATATGACACCCATACTCCAGACTGAATACATGCTAGGAAGGGGCCCTTTCTCAAGCAGGAGAAAGTATGTGACAGGTAGAAGAAAAAAATAGTCTCTTATGTTTGAAGAGAGCATCTAGGGAATATTAGGAAAAAGGAATTCGTAAAGGTTTAGTGATTCACTTAATCTTGCTAATTGACGTCTATAATTTTAATGTTATTACTAAAGTCACATTGTTATTAACAATATTTTTCCCACAACTTATTTAAGTCTTCAGATACTTTATGTTCAATTTTATATTTATGAGACAAAATCCTAAAGGGCAGGATTTTTCTACTCACCCAAGCATCTGCTGACTTAGTGTGTGGAAGAGATGACAAATACAGGTTTGATTTGTGCCATCTGAAGGAGTGCCATCTAGAGGCAACTGCTTCAAACGGCATCTCCACACACTGCTACGCAACTCAAACTCTCGTTGAAATATATGTAACTGCAGAAGTAATGTGTACTCTCTATACAAACCCTAGAATAACTAAAATCTATAAGACTGAGATAATTACAAAATGGCATTTAAGTGGAAAATGAAGCCTGAGCAAAGAGATTTGGGGTTATACTTTTGTTCAATGAAAATATCAATCTGTTTCACAAAACAAGCTTTTTAGGAAGATGAACTGAGCAATTCATTTTGTCAGTTAAAATTCATAAAAAAATAGACTCCAACATTAGTTAAATACGACTATTCAAATACAAGTATCAAAAAAAAAACTTAAAAAAACAGTAGCAGCAAAAATATTGAATATTTATAAACAAAATCACCAGTAAAACCACTATGCTTAATAACAAAGAATCTGCATACTTTAAAAATATTAAATATATAAGAGAATATTGTCCATTTTTCTTAACATACAATACTTGATAACTAAAACAATGTTGTCAATAATAGACACGAATAGGTGTTATCATAAGGCCCGTCGAATAGCCTTTTTCACAGCACTCAGGGGCATCATGTTGCTGCAGAGGGCAAACCTTCCAAAAGTCTCCTCCTAGCTGTGATCCTTGCACACCGGGGGCATTCGGAGGCCCGGAAACACTGCTTGTGAAAGCAAGCTCTGCAAGCTGCAAGCAAGGGTGAGAGATATCAGCAAAGGGCTATCTTATTTCCTCACATACAGACACTCATCCCTATCCTGGCGAGAGAGGAGGTCTGAGTCCAGAAACCAAAATTGTCCAAAAAGAAATCAGACAGTTTGAAACTCAGAAGGATTATGTAGTTTTCAGGAGGTCATGAACATGAGGTTCAGAGAGTCTGATGAATGGATGCTTCCGTGCCCCCCAGACTTGCCCAGGCCATTCTCCCAGCTGCTGAGAGTACTGGTAGCCCATGGCTCAGGAAGCTGTGTCCCTTCTCTGGAATTGGCCCTAATTGGAGAGAGCTGCCTCCTCAAGGTCATATCCCCTTGCTAGCACCAGTCTGTGTCAGGTGACTGGTCAATGTGGAGTTTAAAGACTCGGCTGGCTCCTTGTCCCCAGTTTGGGACAATGCTGAAGGCCATTCCTGC